CTTCACGATTGGTGAGAGAATCGCTCAAGACTTCAGACTGATCTTCGATTCCAGAGCTCAGCTGTCATGGCTCTCCAAGAAGCCAGTGAGGCTTATTTGGTCGGTCTTTTCGAAGATACCAACTTGTGTGCCATCCACGCCAAGAGAGTGACCATTATGCCCAAGGACATTCAATTGGCCCGAAGAATCCGAGGCGAACGTGCTTAAAAAGTGCAGTTCTTGCAATCAACAAAAAAACGGCCCTTTTCAGGGCCATCCAAAATCTCAAAAAAGAGTGAAAAAAGTCTTTATCTTGAAACAAAGTACGAAGTACAAAATCCCCTCCTGTCCCTCTTTCTTGCCATTTCCCCTGATTTCGCTTCAAAATAGAACAGCTCGTAGTAAAAAGCTGACGAAAAAGCCCTGGTCTAGTCTAAACCTTGAGTGTAAAAAACACACCATTGACCACGTTTATAATAATTGATTCTCCTATATTGAGGTATGGAATGAGTAAAATGAATGAATGAATGAATGAATGAATGAAACCTAGCCCTAACTTAACCGTGAAGCCATGTGCAAAATACACCGACCGAACGTCTATGTTGATTACCGCCAATGACCGGATTATCCTACAGGTCTAATCAATTTACTTAGAAACACTAGGCGAGAATATGGGATCACAATACGGTGGGGTGGGGTTTAATTTTTGAGTAGATCTACTCAAACCCTGACAGAATGTTTTATAAAGTGTTGTGTTGTTAAAATTTCGTACACTTGTCATGGGATTTTGATATGGTAAGTATGTATGTGTCCAAGTTCAAAGGTAAGAGACAAAACGCGATTTTCTTCATTTCTCAGTTTTTCCTAATTTCTTTCACTTTATTCANCTCTTTTTCACGCCAATCTCAATACAGAACGTTAATGAACTTTAAACCATACATTTTCACCGTGGTGTATTTTGAGCGCCAATGCCCTCTATGATTTCCTTATAAGAAAGTCCCAAAAGGTGGGAGATTGCTCAAACTTATGAAAAAGTCTAGTGGACTGATATTTGCACCTATTTAGCCCTCCCAAAGTCACTTACCTGCCCTGTGTTACGGAACTGGAGTGAAAGTTGGGTCTTTTTCACTACTGAAACGGACGAAAAGGAAAAGTCGGGCTCTAAAAAACCGTGATTTGAGTTCAAATATTGCCAATTTCCTCACAGTATGAGACTGGTATAGTAGACAAATGTTTCTTTGACCAGGTTAAGTCTAATTTTTGGGAAAATTAGCAAAAATGACCCTTGAAATACGTATTTGTCATGAAATTACAAACACAAGATTTATCTCAAGTCAAAACCAGGTAAAATTAAGGCGTGCTCACTATCAAGTCCGCGCTTTACTTGTATGGGTCTACACAATACACGCGTTTAGTCTATTCATTTTCCTCTCGTACACAGAAGAAGAACGACGTTCGCAAAGAAGCAATCCAAGATGACTGACGCAGCCGTAGCTCCCGTTCACAAATCACCCAAGAAGAAGACCTCAGCCAAGCCTAAGGTGCCAGCTGCTCACCCGAAATATGTAGATATGATCAAGGCTGCAGTCGCTTCCTTGAAGGAAAGGGGCGGCTCCTCCAGACAAGCCATTTTGAAGTACGTCATGGCAAACTACAAAGTCGGCACAGACCTGAAAGCAGTTAACTCCA